CTGATTCACTATCGTTTGTTATATTGTATGCACGCGCGTTGACGATGATACACGGCGAGCATTATAAATAAACTGTGTGGGTGCGATGGTGTACCTGTGATTCGTTGGCGGTAGCGGCAGTAGTCGAGACAGAGACGATATAACTTCCGTTATATTAAAACTCGTTATTTACGGCCTTTCTCAGACGCGTCGCATGCACTTAGGTTTTAAGGGGTTTTCGCTGTTGCTTTTCTCCCGGTCCATAAACTACCCGAGTGTTGCGCGGCTCATACTATTTTTTTACTTCTTAGTTTTGTTTTTTACGATGATTGTTATCCGACGTTTCGAAGAGAGACCTTGTGCACTTGACTCTGGACCATCATAGAGTATAGTTACCAGAAGGCATTCCGGGCCGATTGGATGAATATAAAGCCACTATACCGATAAGGTGGTAGCGGCGGGGCGTAATATTATTAATAGGTTGGGTATGATAAGGTTCTCGCTTGATGTGTACTTAATGCAATGTATATAAAAACGACAAACCGCTAACGTCAGACGTGTATCTTGAATAAATCACCGGATGGATGCGACAAACGTTTAAAATAGAAATGACTTAAAAGCCTCCGTTAATGGAGGCTGTAAATTAGTTGTAAATTAAGCGAGTCCAAGACGGAGGCGGCCCCCGTTGTTGCGATTTCGTAGTGTCGAGTAGAATCGAGACTAGTGAATCAATATCGTTTTAATTCATCAACCGTCTGCGCGTATTTCTTATGGTTATAACAATAATTATTAAAAACCTAATATAAGACGAAAACCGATGTCATCGTCTCGTTATATCATGATCGCTTGGTTAAAAAAAAAAAATGTTAATCTGAAAAAACTTGTTATTTTGTTTTTTTAAATGTATATAACGTAATAACGCAATTAACAAAAGTCGGTGGAAAAATTTATATTTTGAATCGCTTCATGGTTTTATTTTTATATTAAATTCTAATAATTAAATGATCTTATATAGAATTTTAAATCATTTTTTATAATTTATTTTGTATCGTATTTGAGAACATTTGACGCATTAATTTAAATAAGTTAATATGTATATAATATCATATCAATAATACAAAAATATAAAATGTATTTATATTTTAATATGAAACGAACGAACGGTATGATTATTAATTTTAATTTAAAACCAAATATAAGCAACAAACCAATATTAATTTGGCAAAATTAATTATTGGGATTTTAATTAATTTATAATATATAATAGAAGCTAAATAGAGAAATAAATTATGTGTTTCAAATTTAAGCCATTAACATAATAATTATTAAGCTAATAAATAGCATTTGATTGAAGTTTAATTTTACTACGCCGTGAACTCCATCATAATCGAGTGGATACTTCAGTCATTATACTTATAAGTGTATAATAAGCTGGATTGTCTAACGGCAGACGAGTTAAAAAAAAAGTCTGCTCATCCTATTAAACAATCATTTTTAGAGATAAATTAAGATTAATTATACTGCACTACATATTAAAATAAAAACGTATTATATATTGATTACTTAACGTTCATTGGTTATCTTATTAATATATTATAAAATATTCTTATAAATTGAGTACTCTGCAGCTGTATTTAAAAAAAAAAGTAATAATAATAAAAAATGTGTTTCAAAATAATGGAATGTTAATAATCATATTTTTTATACTTATCAATAATACTTTAGTGTTTACTATTTTTTAACGGTCTGTAAAATAAGCATCAGAATATCATATTTAGGAATGAATGGTGTAAATTAATCTTTCAATAGGAATACCTTATTTTAGGTTTGTAGGTAATTTATAAAATTATTTTTGGTATACATGGAGGTTACATAAGTATATATTTATACTATGAGTTAGGTACTTTTAGATTGTACCACTAGACATACAGAGTTAAACCTCACGGCGTTTTACTATTTAGATTACAAAAGTTGGTAGATATGATGAAACTAATATTTAACAGTAAGTTAACCTAACTCGGAGTAACCTATAAATTAAATTAAAATTATTTGTATTTCAGTTTATATATTTTTTATGAAATATGACTCTTAATAGTACTTTATTTTGTCCAAAGTATGATGGGTATACTGATTATGTATTATCATTTAAACATTGGTACAGTATTATATAAGTAATGCATTTTAACGCAATAACTTGTATTTGACTGATTACCGTGTCAATAAAAATGAATACAATAATTTGTAGCTGGCTAAATGAATATTACATTCAGGACGATCTGTCATTAAAAACACTACTGTAGCGTGTTAATATCATGTTATTTAGTTTGGTATGTTATTTAATACTGCAATAATTGAGCAACGATGGACATTTAAGTTAAAACTAATGTAATTATTCAAAAAACATATATTTATGCATTATTATTATTATTATTACTGTAGATAGGTACACAGCATTATGCTGCATTCATAAGGTAGCACAATGGAACCCATTAAATATTGTATTTTATATTTATATATATTTGTAAATAAATAATAATAATAATATTTCGTCATACCTACCTAAATTAAATAAAACAATAGATACACATTTTTAGGACGTATTAAACTTCACATGTGTTATGAGAAAACGAAATAAGTAAAATTGATTTTTCATATTTATAGCGTGGCCTTGAAAATGTATGGGGGTATAAATACCGCCTATATGCCGCCTTTGATATAATATAATAATATTGAAACACTGGTCGTAGACCGTAACGCACCAACAGTTGATAGACACATCCATTTGGGCACACACACACACAATAATATTCCAAATCCAAAACCCGTTGTGTAATAATCGTGGAGATCGTTATTTATTTAACTCCACTGTTTTTTTATACGTAGGTTAGGTAAGCATAACGCTGTTGGGTTTCGTTGAATGTGGCGATGGCGGAGTATAATATCTACACATACAGCAGTTGTGTTTGTGTTATAGCTTTGTATGTACAACGAATAATAAATTATTTTGTATCTAATACTGCTATATATTATTGTGATAAATTCATTATATTGTAAACGGATACGGAACAATTAAAACGTTTAATGGGGGAAAAAAAAAAACAACGAAATGACATTTAAAAAGATCGCTGAGAAACGTTGGGAGCTTTAGTATTTTGCAACTGTCCGAACTATATATTTGTTTGCGCGGTCTCTGCTAGTGGTGTGTAAACACTAATACACAATAGTCAATAATAATAATAATCATTAAAACCGTATAACAGTAATAGTTAGTAATCGTTATTTTAAATCAATCACAGTACACGAGGTGAATCACCAATGTCTAAAATGATCACTCATATTTTTTTCATTTACATATGAATTTTTTTAAATCTAATTTTTGGCACTTTTAAATATACTTAAAGGTCGTATTTTAAGTTCTTAAAATTTCTTGTATTACTTAAGGAGAATTATTTGGCTATACAGATTTCTATTTTTCAAATGAAAACCATCTTCTATTTACTATAGTTTATTTAGTGAATAGTCTAATCTATCTAACCTATCTAACCTAATTTAAAATTTGTTTGAAAAGTTGTTGAGTTATTAAGATTTTTACACTAAGAATATAATAGTCCTCAAATTTGATTTTATAAAACTATAAAATATATTTTGTAATGGATCTAGTGTTTATTATAGATACTTGACCATTTTTACAAATTATAAGATAATATGTTGATAGATTAATAATATTGATCACTTAAATGTTCTCAATTGAAATACAGAAGTTTGAATCGCTACAAGACACTTCTTAAGTAATAAAATAAATGTCAACATTTTGAAAATATAGTCTCTTTAATTTAAAATTTCCAATTATCATATTCTGATTAATTGCATTATTGAAGAAAAAATGAATGGACATTTTTTTTGTGAATCATCCGGTATAGTTAAGCATTACAGACTCTTCAGACCACTACGTGAAGATTTGATACGAAAATTATTTTTAATTTTTTTATTTTCGTATTCAACCTAATAAAAAAAAAAAAAAAAACCAATAACGCCGATTGAAGTTCTATATTATTGTAGTAGGTAATATTCGTACGAACATATAATACACGTTGGGGACTTAATTCATGAGAATAATTCAACAAGAGTAACTTATATATACATGTAAATGTATAATAGTTACATAATATAAATATATATCACGCTGTTAAGTAGTATTTTTTTTTTTTTTTAGTTGCTTGAGTAATTTTAACCTAAAAATTCCAGTGAAAATATATTTTTCTTATTCTGCTATTTATTACAGTAAATATAAAATATACGTTCGGTGTTACGTGTTAGTAATAATTTTACGTCATACAGTAGGTACGGCACATACGCTCAGTGTACCGAAGTATTTAATAATATGTTTTGACTTTTAAGTAGGCGTATTCAATAAACTATGGTTAAGTGTACATTGACGTGCAGTCTTTATAGCGCATATTATAGTGTCTGTGCAGATTTCTCGCTACAGTTGTTTGGAAATCATGCAGCTCTGAAATCTAAATCGATTTAATTAATACTATATATTGTACGTAGATATGCCACCCGGTGTGGTTAAAACTCACGAAATAATATATTATATTTTAAGGTTTGAATTTAAATACCCTAAAAATGCGTTTATTGCTTTAATATTCCAAGCACTTAAAAATATTTATTTTTATTTTTATATACAATAAAATTAATAATCTAAAAATAATTTGTTTATAGTATGAACTTGAAACACATTTATCTCTATTTAAAAACATATATACTCGTATAAATTCACATCAAACGCTAGGTGATGTCACTGAAGGATTACTAATTTCTCACTATATGTTTTCTTTATTATTTTAATTTGTCGCATCCTAAGCAGTGGTTATTGAATACTATTTATTATACAAGAAAAGAAACTTTGAAAATTTCGCTCGTTATTTAATGCGTTTGTATTTATTAAAATACCTAAAACAACTTTGATTTTATAACATTTAATTATTATGATGGTGAATACAATATTATTGTGCAATATGATTAGTGACATTTATATGTACAGTATGTTTATACTTAATGTGTGGCTCGTCGAAATACATAAACTTTTGAATAAATTGTCCGGTTAGTATAAAAGTCAAGTATAGATAAGTACTTAGTAAATACACATTTTTAATGGTTTTTAGTCATTTGTTGTGCTTAGTAGTCGTCAATTTTGTGGCGTAAAAATTATTGTTGCCGTGTACGCAAACTTCTTATGGTTGTAAGGCTGTAAAAATTAAAAGTGACCATATTATAATTTATACATGTACAATGACAAAGAAACCACAGTCCACAGGTATGCGTGAATGGTTAATAATTAGATTTTTTAGAAAACTATCACTAAAATCAACTTTGATAATGTCTTTGCAGGTTCACTGCGAAATAAAAACACTCTATGATAAAATGGAATTCCTACTCTGTACATTGATTCTCAGTCTAATATTTAATTTTGGAAGTGCAGTCTATGAGTAGTAGTATACTAACTTACTTGTCTTATAATACATAAGTTCATATTTTTTTTTTTTTTTTTTTTTTTTTTTTTAGGGAAGATCGATGAATGCTAATCCATAGATTTAAAATTAATATTTTTGTTGTAATTTATTTGAATTATTATGGATTAGTTGAAAAAAAAAGCTTCTAACACAAAGCATCTTTCATTGAAGTTGCGCCATGCCTATGATATATACCTGCAAACGTACAACTATAAAGACAATCTCTTGATTTATGCTTACCTCAGTTTTACAAAGTTAACTTACCTTGTCACTACTCACTACACTTTCGTTCTAAGTTACTGTTGTATCAGAATTATTATACTGTAGATGTATTTTCTCCCCTTACGTAAGTCTTTCCCGATTTATCATAGAGTATAGGCGTTTACAACTAATAGAAGAACGACACCTTTCAAAGTAAGTACAAGAACACTCTTATTTACTTGCTTGTTGTATGTATAGGACGATAAAAAGTGCATTATTATATATAAACTGAGAATAGACGTACCTATACCTAACGATGAATGTACAGTAGTACAGATGATCTTCAGTAGGTTGTTTCACAAATACATATCAAAGAATTTTGTCATACTATAATATGAATAGTAAAAACAAATGACTTTTTCTGATACACTCAATAATCAATGAGAAAGTTTGATAAATACATAAACGTACAAAGAGGTAAAAATAATGACAAATAAAAAGTTGTGAATGTAATGAAACAAGGTGGTTAATAAAATAAGAAGAAAACCATCAAATATAATAAATATTACACATATTTGAAAAATCGTATTACCAAAATTTGTTTTTTTTAATATTAAAACTACCAAAAAACTTTTAAAATGTGAAATTGAAAAAAAAGATATAATACGCGATTAAAAATAAAAAAATGAAAAGAAAAAAATATTTTAAAATATGACTTTCTCTGTTTCATACTGAGTATTGCAATATTCTATTAAAAATATTTAATGCGCATAACCTGTAATACATTTTTTTTATAAATAATCCTCTATAGTCTTTATTTTATAATCTTTTTTATATCATGAAAAAGATTAACACAAGGCACGTACACAATACAAGGCAATTATCCAACATGAAGTATTCTTTAATAAAAAAAAAAAATAACACAATATAATAATATTATGTTTATACATTCTTATGAAATTATATAGGTTGAGAATTTTTAATGCATTCTTAAAAACCACCAATAGGTATTAAAACTCTTCTTTGTAAATAAAAAATTGATTTGTTTATACAGAGATCAAAGTAAAAAGTTTTAAACATCTATTTCTCTATAAAACCATTTTCTATATGTGGTATACCTATTTTTATATTATGTATTAATGCACTATGTATGCTTAGTTTTGTAAGTTTAATATTATTTTAATAAAACATTAATATAGTCTTCTTACGATTTAATGTAATATTCATTATTTTGTATATGCAGACTTAACACGTACATTCATTTACGGAGAAATAAATAAATATATGCAATAATAAACAGATAAACCTCAAAAAGCTTATGGTTTTTGTTTTCAAAATTCCTATACATATTCGTAATAATATTATGATTTTATAATTTATAGAATTATAATTCGTATTTATAGTACATCTATTTAAATGTTGAAATCAGGGTTTTAAATTATATCATATATACCTGCCTGAAGGATGAGACATATGTATATAAGAGGTGATTCACCAAGCATACTCGATTTTTTCTTTTATAATGCATTTTTATTAAATTTCTAATTTTTTGAATTTTAAAATACACATTTTTAAAACCATATTTTTAAATAATAAAGATTTTTATACTTAATACTTAAAAAATATGATAAGGTAAAAAATCTTCTGTTCTTTAAATGAGAAACTTGAATTTTCAACCTATATAATTTTTTTTTAAATGTTAATTTATCTAATTAAAAATTTGAGCAAGTAGTTTCTTAGTTATTAAAATGTATATCATAAGGGTATAAGTCATTTTACCTTTATCCCCATATTATCATCCAAACTCATTATCATGGATCTATTGTTCTTATTATACAAAGTTAAATTATTCAAAAACTACTTGATTAAATTTTGATTTTGGTACATCGAGGATTTTATAAAAGTTATCCACTCAATAATTCATAGCAGAAAAGTAAGGGGTTTTATTCAGAAAAAACAGAAGTTTACATCTCCGTTAAATGCCCTTTCAATAGTTTAAGATTCTCAAGAATTCAGAAATATAGTCCAAGTACCTAGCTATAACAAATACTAAGTCTTAGAAGTGAACATTTAAATATGTATTTCTTAGAGAAATGATTATATTTGTTGAATCACCCTCTAATATAGTTATTAATTATTATAAAAATAATTCTGAACTCTCGTTTATATAAAGTTTGTTATATAATTTTTTTATCCATAAAATTATATATATATATATTATATTATACCGTATTAGTTATACCTTAAATCTTAATAGGAATTTCGAATGACGGATGTCCCAAATCCCGGAGACAGCGGCCGCCGCCATAACGTAGTAAATCCACGACAACAATTTTCCGCCATTTTAAGCCCTAAACCTCTTTATATACTTTATCAATCCCGAATACAATTATTTTTCTTTGAAACGTCTCTCCTCGTTGCTCCGTCCTCGCTGAATTCGACCGACGTCCGTCTAAATAATAGCTCGACGGCAGCGGTCGTTTAATAGATTATCCTCTTCGCTTCTCCTTCGTGGTCACTCACTTTGGGAATGGATTCGAAGCTCGTTAAACATCTAACTTGACCCTTTCGATGGGCATTATATATTATATATATATTACTTGTGGTGTGTAGTATGCGTGTGTTCCGGTCTGTAAGATTCAGTTCTTATATTATTCTGATATTCGGACCCATATTATTTGAACAACGATGCCTTATATTACGATATTTTTGTGACCCGCAGTACATTATTTTTATAATATTCTACCCATCATTAATTCATCTACCCTTTTTACCGTAGCGGCGTGTACTCGGGAAAATATTCCATGCCCGTATGTAATTCGATAACTTGCATTGCGCTTGTGTGTGTGTTTTTTAAACATGATAATATATTATTTATACCCTTCTTTCGGTTTTCTTTATTTATTTTTATTTTCATTAGGCTTTATCGTCATTACGTTAATTATTATGGCACGGAATTGAGTAAAAAAAAAAAAATTAATCGAATTACAAAAACCCTCGTCTCTCGAGCAAATATAAATTAACTAACAAGAGATTTCCTATGTGTATATATAGATAAAATCATCCGTTTAAGTAAATTAGATCTACATTAAACGGTAGTCATTTAAAAAAAAATAAACTTTTAAAATTAAACGAGTTTTCAACGAAAGAAATTCATTTTAACCGCATTAAATTAATCATTCAACATAACCGGATATACATTTTTACAGGGCTTTTTTTAACAAAAGATCGTTTAATAATATAATTATGCTATACTTTTTAATACAATATTGCGTTTGTTATGTGAATTCTTAATAGTATAAAAATCAAATAATGACCATGTCCTTGAACATTAAAATTTTAAATATTAAAATATAATGTGGAAAAGTAAGGTTAAACGATAAACATAAAATTTTATATTTTTTCTGGTATATAATATGGAGTTAATTTCTTCTTAATTTATACTTGAAAAGATATTGAATATTTAAATATTACTATTATTATTGTTGTTATCAGTCCGATGTATCTATAATTATTAATCCTATCGATTTTTAAAACATTGTACGCGTGATGCAATCTGTTTAAAAACAGCGAATCCATAGTTTTTTTCCTATCATTTATATACAGATATTATTATATTATTATAAAATACGTATGTACCTTTGACCTACTTAGGATTAATTTTCCCTACATAGAATTAATTATCAATTAACTTACAATAATTTATTGATTTATAGTATTTTTGGTATTGTGTGTAAGCTTGTAATGTACGTAAAATATAGACATTTTCTGATTTACACATATATCTATATTTTTGAAATTTATACCTACCTCATTCTTTTTAACTATCGTTTTTTTTTCTCGAATCGTGAATTAAAACAGTTTTAGTGCACATTTTGCATAGTATACAGCATATTATTATCAAACAATAATGGCAGACATCCAGGCTACAGTTCTAAATTCTATCGAAATGTAAAATAACGCGTTTCTATATCAATATTAATGGATATCCGCCGATTTTTATTTTTATACGTTTTTCTCTCATTTTTATTATACGTGACAGTAGTTTTCTTTAACGGCAAGCTATCAGAACTTCCCAGTCCATTGTGTACGGCATTTTAATGGAGGTATAAAAAAAAAAATGCACAGTCGTATATAATACGCGCAGTTGTGTATGGATATATGTACATACATATACAAACAATGTAATAATAAAATAATATTAAAAAAGTCTTCCCGATAAAAAAAAATACTCCACGAAGCATCGTACTTGTAATGCGTATGTGCGAGATTGAGTGTGACATTTTCAAACAAAACCAACGTTCCAAATAGCTAGCCTAGTGGACAATGGTCGTACCAATGTATTTTGGCGGAAGTCGATTTTTTTATTATAACGAAAATTCGCAAGGATTTTATATTGTTATAAATGTTTTACTTTCAAACGAGGTTTTCATTAAAATTCTAAATCATGTTTTCAATATATATTTTTATATTTTTTTTGTCTCATTCAAAATGTTATCAGTCAAATACTAATATTGATCACCGAGTCTATTTTTTAACCCTTATTTAATACACATATATATTAAACTAATTAAAGCCGTAAGCTTGAATATTTTAATTTGATTTATTTTTTTATCAACATTTTTAAAATTTTAAAATACTCTGAAAATTGTCAAGTTTTTTTAATTTTAATTTTAATTGTTTTTATTATTTGTATAAAAGTTACACGAATACCAGTAAGGTAGACAAAGACTGTTAGCATATTTCTAATTTTATCATACGTAATAATTGTATTAAATATTCATAACATTACCTGCATAATAATATATAGTAATAATGTAAACAATAACTTTGATAATAACGATTATAATATTTAAAACCGAAATTATTATGTTGAATATAGAGGATATTGTATTAAACCAATAGATAATAAAACATTAATAATGAATTATTAATAGTTTTAATATTTAGTATTCATGTTTTACTTTATAAATATAGGTACTATATTATCTGTATAACTTTACGTATTATTTATGAATAACAATATTATATAATTTATATAGATAATAACATTGTTTTAAATCGATAAAATATATTAAATAATATTAATATTTTAATATTTCTATTTTATATAGAAGCTGATAAGTGTTTTGTGCTTTATTAAAAATTACAAATGTTCCATAACTTGTTGAGCTATAACAATGAAACTTGTTTGGAACCGTGTACGAAAAGAT